TCCCCAACATTCTGTGATTCTGTGATTAATAGATTATAGTCTTAAATGTAAACACTTCAAATTTATATCATACTGGTAATTCACTTCTTTAATTTCACTTCATTTTGGCAACTAAAATAGCAGATATGTTTCATTTCTGTGTCTTGTGATGCTGCTGAGTAGCTTTCTAGTAGTGCAGGCTGGATATACGGAGTGGAAGTGAAGATTAGTTTGTGTATTGCAATCACAAAAATCCAGTTTTACCACTTCATATAATCTTCTCATTTTGCCATACAGTCTCTTACAAGGCCAGATGTTTCTGTAACCTTTTAAATACTTGTGCTAGATTACTTGTCATGTGCCCGTAACAGGCCACAGGTAGTAAATCTGGCGTAAAGGGCAACTTGTACCTATTTTTTCTAAGTATTTGTTTTCTAAGAACATATTTTGTTCAAATTCTCTAGATTACATTTGCTGCTGGTATGCAGAAATAATAGTGGGAAGCTGCTTTTAAAAATACTTTTGTTTGACATGTTGGTTTGAAAACATTATTTGAAGATTCCTTGTATGTAGGTCAACTTCAAGCTTTATGCACATATTGTTCTGAAAATTTGGAATAAGCACATTTATTGTTCTTTCCAGTACAGTAGTGTTTGGAATTTAAATGTGGAACAAATATGGTCTTAATTATGGTATTGTTTTACCATAATAGAGCAGCAGTCATAATAACAAGTTAGTTAGTTAATAAACTGTTAATTTAGCACCATATTAATATGCCAGAATAGTACCCTCAGACACTTAGCTTCTCTTTAAAAGCAATGTCTTTACTTTTTACTTACTATTTCATTTCAGGAATTCAACCTAAGCTTGTTAGCACCTTGTTTAAGCCTTGGCATGAATGAAATCTCAAGAGACCAGAAGAGTAACTTCTTTGAAACAGCTCGGAGGGTAACTCTGGATCATGTGTCTACCACTGTACAGAACTTTCCTGCCAGCCACCAGGTTTTTCAACCATTATTGCCAACTGAGCCGTCAGCCTACTGGAAAAAACTAAGCGATATCTTTGGTAATAGAAATAATGGTTTATTCTTTCCTCTGCAAAAGTACTTTACTGATGTCTTTTGAATACATGAACGTACTATTTAAAAAAAATCAAGATATGTGGCATAAAGTTTTTATGAAATGAAATAATTCTGAAAAATATTTATTGAGGGGGGGAAATTCAAACTGCTAATTTCATCCAGTCTTATTTTATAGGAGATGAGGTGAGGTATCAGTCTATGATGACACTTTGTCGCGCACTGGCTCAGTATTTGTTGTTGCTCTCAAAACTACCAGCTGGTCTCCGTGTTCCTCCTGACAAAGAGGATGATATCCTGAAATTTGTGGTTATGTCAGTAGAGGTAAGAAATTACAGTATAATTAAAGATGTGATGAAATGTTGGGAGAGGGAACAACTTTGACTTAAGCTGATGTTTTGATAGTTGATGGGGTTTGCAAAAAGGACACAGACAACAACTTGAAAACAAAACCAAACTTACTTTACTTCTCTTCCGAGTGGGAGGGGGGGCAGGTACAAGGTACAGAGATAAGCGGGGTAACGCACCTTATCGTTACTGCATAGGTTAACTATAGTAATTAAGAAAGATACATCACCAATTGCCCAAACACTTTACTGTCATCCAGATCTGTGCTTCAGCTGGGGAGCCCCTGTCACAGCGAAGGGCCTGAGAACCTTCCCCGGCAATCGGCAAGTCCTACGCAGTGTGTCCACTCGTAGGCGGGGTCTCCATCTTTGCTATGAGAGGGCCCTGCTTTTATGCAATCTCACAAACAAATTACCTAGAGAGAAAGGCACCGTAACATCTGGTGGGTTGCCTTCACTTCACTCAGGTGCATCTGAGATCTGGCCAGGATCTGGGGTGTGTCCGGGAAGCTCCTGTTTTGGTAGAATGCATCTGACTTTGGATTGTGGGAGGAAAAGTCTCACGCTCATATTTCATGCTGATGTGATACAGGTTGGGAGGTTCACTCAAAAGTTAACTCTGGTTCAAGGCCTATGGTTTAAGCCTTTGTATATCAACTGATCACCATTGAGTAACTTCTGATCTGGACAGTTTTCTTAACTGTAGAAATTTCTTCAGTGGTTCTTTTATTTGACCTGTGCTAGTAAATGAGATGGGCTTATGGGAGAAGGGCAGCTTTTTACAGGGAGAGACTGATGGGGAGAATGGCCCTACACTGATTTTTGGGACAATAAGTAGACAGTTTATAGTGCTTATAATTTTCTTGTACTTAATAAATTCTGTTCTCTCAAGAAAAAAAATCAATACAACTTGCTAATAAAACTTTACATATTACTGAGTAAAAGCAAACCAACCAACCTTTGGTTATAAGTTCTTCTGTTGCAAGAATTTGCTATTAATAGGAGATTTTTATTTTTGCACAGGCACTATCATGGCATTTAATGCATGACCAGATTCCATTAAGTATAGATCTTGAAGCTGCTCTGGATTGTTGCTGTTTGACATTACAGCAGCCTGGTCTCTGGAATTTGCTGGCTTCTGCCGTTAATGTGACATATGCTTGCTCCTTAGTTAATTGCGTTAGATTTATCATAGAAGCAGGTGAGTCCAATTTGAACAGCTAATGAGGAAATTTTCTTTAATAAATCGTTAGTCATCACTGATCAAATGCTAGGTGTCCGGAGTATTTCCTCCAAGTCCTTTTTAATTATTTATTTGACAAATTTATTTTTACTATTTTAATTTCTCATTTAGAATTTTGTGTTTACTTTTGAACTTGGTAGATGCCTTGGTGTTGTAAATATTTGACTACTATGTGGTTTTGAAGATAAAAGTGGAATATGAGATGTGTAATGGTTATATCTTTGAAATATTTTTGTCTAATTCAGTTGCAGTTGAACCTGGTAATCAACTTCTTAGTCCTGAAAGAAAGAAGAATACTTCAAAAGGCTTAAGTGAGGGTGAAGGTGATTCAAACACACAGAGTAAGTAAACAGCAAATTCCACCTTTGCCTTAGACTTTCACAGAAGAAGTATTTACAGGCACCCTTTCCATTACTTCTTTTTTTAACAATGAGAATTCATCTGAGACCTTACTTCTATTTGATAAATGTTTATTAAATGTAGATTGACATATTTTTAACAGATGTAGTTGTTTTTTTTCTTAAAAAACATTAACGCAGATTTTACTTCTGTTAGCTGTGCAACACTTTTTAAAGTGTTGTGGGATTTTTAAATTTCCTGTAGGAGAGGTAGAATTGTTAATATTTCTTATGAAGAGTGGCAGATTCATTATCTGCTTTTCTACAGTATGGGAGCAGTGTTGAGGTGAAGGTCAAGAGTAAGTACACGAGTGTGGACAGTATTATTTTCCATATCCCTCTGTGCTGGTATACAGTAAGATACTGTTAAGATACTCTTTTCTTTTTTCTTACTGTTTTACTGTAAGAGACTGTTTTCTCATAAAACAGATGAGTTTGGTCACTTCAGATTCTAACAAAAGCTCTATTCAATGTGGCCTGTTCTTGCTGGTCTTGACACGAGGTGCTCTGCTGACAGATCTCAGGTACCTGTAATCTCCAGCACTGAGATAGGCAAACAGTGCAAGCTGTTGCAAGGAGGGTGGTAGTAGTATTCTTCAACCAGCTGAAATATTTTAGAATGTTTCTTTGTCCACATCCTTATTGTGATTTTGTCCTTTTTAGTCAACATACTCTTTTATTAAGTATTTTTTGCCTTTTTTCTGTATCTTTTTAAATGATGGCTTTTGAATAGTTTCATAAAACTGAATTTCTTTCTCCCAACAAAGAAGATAAAAACATTACTGCAGCTTGTGAAATGGTAGCTGAGATGGTGGAATGCTTACAGACTGTCTTGGCACTGGGACACAAAAGAAACAGCAGTATTCCAGCGTTTCTTACTCCTGTCCTCAAGAACATCATCATCAGTTTAGCAAGGCTGCCTCTAGTGAACAGTTACACAAGAGTACCTCCCCTGGTATGTCCATTATGCTTTGTTTTCGGAACTTTAAAGGCTATTGAACAACTTTTTGAAAAAAAAATATTGTGCTACATCTTAAGTTTTTTGTCAGTAGGACTTCAGCCTTCAGCTAGTTTGATTAGTCAGTTTGTCTTTTTAAACAGAGTAGCAAAACATTGTAAAAATATCAAATAAGAGTTCACTTTGCAATCAGAGATTTTATTAGAAAGGAGTATAGCTGCTTCTTACATTCTTTTGTGAAAGAACGTCCAGGTGGTAGTTGAAGAAAGGAAAAGCAAGCAGTGACTTGGGTGCTTTGTTAGGGGTAATATTTCCTCCCATTCAGTGGGATTGCTTTCCCTGCAAAATTTACACTGCTGTTTTCTTTATGACACCTGAATTGACAAATTCATTTTTTGTCATGCTAAGTACCACAATGATGCAGTGGTGCTGAGGTGTCTCAATAGTGTCTGAGCGAGCACAGGTATTTGGGTGTGGTACTGTACCATGGTACGCCATGCAGGTACTTTGGGATTGTGTATTACCGTTCTTTCCTAACTCATCTTAGATCCTTTGGACAAGGTACTTCAGTCTTGTCTTTTTTTGGCCACTGTAACATGAATTTAAGAACATCTTGTTATTACATCCATGTATTGTTAGTACTGTGAAATGACTTAGTTTTTATAAATTTCAAAACCATTATCAGAAACATTTCTAGATGCTTATTAGGTAGAATAGAAGTGAGTTGTTGGATATATTCAAGGCCCTTTCTCTGTTTCTCAGTGCACTGTTTTTGAGGGGATGTCAAAAGATACTCATTTTTTTGGTTGAGACATTTTTTGTCCACTCTCAGATGTATCTTCAAGCTTTTTCAACCATCAATAGTATGTGAACTATTTTCCCTTAATTACCTTTCAATGTCATTTCTGCACAATCTGGAAGTCACCTGGTACTTAAATTTTAAACTGAAATATATGGAAGAAACTTACATGCTTCCATGTCCAAAATTGGACAGTAGGACTAAATAATTAATTCATAGTGAGAAATATGAAAAAAAAAACCAAAACAAAAAAACAAACCCAAAGTTAGAAATATGATGTAATATGTATATTGGCTGTGTTAGATAGTTAATCTTTCTCTAAGTTTTTTGTATTTGGAGAATTACTTTATTTACTGACATCTTACTGCTTTTGAATGGTGCATATATATTTGTTGCTGTCATGTTAATACTGTTTCTATTTTGGATAAGTAGTCTGTCATTGTATTTCTTCAGGTCTGGAAATTAGGCTGGTCACCAAAGCCTGCAGGTGACTTTGGCACAGTTTTTCCTGAAATCCCAGTAGAATTTCTTCAAGAAAAAGAAATCTTCAAGGAGTTCATCTATCGCATTAATACACTTGGTATGTACAAAATTAAAAATTAGTATAGTTGACTCTTGTTGGTCATTTACCTGTATTGTAAAGTTACTGGATATCTGAATCTGGTACCATTTGTTTACTTTTGTTGCTTAAGTGGAAGAGCAATAATATTTCAGAGCACGTTAGTAATTGTGGTGTTGTAATTCTTATGTCTTGCTCAATGCAGAGAAAAAATTATAAATTACAGAAATAAGTCCAAAAACTATTAGAACTCAGAGGAGTGATTTCAGTGTGCTTTATAGAACATCCGCTTGTTTTCTGGAGCATAAACTTGACAGTATGTTTGAGAATATTTTGCTTCCCCCCTTTTTTTATTGATGCATTGTATATAAATAAAATTTAGTGCCACACTCTCAATATTTTAAATGAGATGCTGTCACTTTAAAGCTTCTAATTATGTCAAGGTTTACTGAACAAGAGCAGTGGGGTTTAAGAGTTCAAGCCTTTGTCAGCAGATGAGACTATCAAGGGTAGTGCATCAAACTTCCTTTATACAGAGGTTCTTTGATTTTAGGGGGTTTTTTTTGTTCCCCCTGCCCTGATTACAGTTTAATGTTGACTGACTTATGGTATAGCTCTGATTCCTGCTTGATCACTGTAATGCCTAAGATGACATTATCTAAAGAATCAAAAACGAGATTGTTATTATAAACTGCAAGATATTATTCAGGAATCCTCTGCAGTCTTTTATATGTAAAAATCTGTTTGGAAAAACTGAAGTGCTTGAATTTTAATGGATTATTTCTAGGCAATTCAGTCATTTAGCTTTTCAGGCATGAAGATTTCTTGGATCATTATGGGATTCTCTACGACTTACTTTCCTGTGAGACCTGGCTGGTTTTCTGGATGATTTTCTGTGTTGTGAAAACCTGGTAGATCTCAATGCTTCAAGAGTTGGACAATCAAAGTACTTCAATGTATGTAATAACCTGAGCAGGACCATTTAAATAGTAATGTTCAGAACCCTTCTAAAGGATTCATCACTTTCTGAAATAGAACACTTTAAATTTAAGCTGTAGTGATTATAAAAAATGCTGAATTGAATAGAAAATGGTATGAAATTAAATCTATGGAAACAATATATCACTTCTTAATGCTATTCCCTGCTTAAGTTTGCCTTAAGACATAAATGGCTATCTCGAGTGTTTCCATAGGATGGGTCAGCCGTACTCAGTTTGAAGAGACTTGGGCTACTTTGCTTGGTGTGCTTGTAACTCAGCCTATTGTAATGGACCAAGAGGAGAACCAACAAGAGGTAATGTCATTCACTGAGTTTTTTAAATTAAATTTTAATTCAGCTAATAATAAACTAAGAAAAAAACTTCTATTAATAAACCTTGATGCAATGTGAGTAGTTCCAAATACTTCTGTTGGAGAAAAATGTCAGTACCACAAGTATGAATTGAATCTAACCAAAAATTTTAAGAACTAAGTACTACAGTTTTCTCACACTTTTACAGTGGTGCTAAATACTGAATGTGTAGTATCTTGGTTCAGAAGAAACATTGGATGCATCTGGATAATGATACCCAGAAAAATGCTGCTGAAAATTCATGATGAGTTGAGTTTTGTTCCTAAATGGGCAGTTACTAAAAACAGTTAACATGGATCCTTCTCTGAAGAGTTTCCAACTCAGATTTGGTCTTATTTGATGCTTTGTTTCAATAGGTGACTAACAGATAGATGCAAACAAAGAAACTAAGCACTTTGAAAGCTCTAAAATTGACATCTTGAGGTTTTAATGCTGTTGGGATAAGAGAGGATGCATGCAGAATGGCTGATGTGGAAGGATGTGTTGCTGCTACAGTCACAGTGCTTTCTGTACATTGCTTATGTCAGGTAGATTCCTGGATGGAAAGAAGTCTAGGTGTCAGGCTTATTAATGATCAGGCCTTTTAGGTTTTTTGGTTTTGGGGTTTTTTTACAATTCAAATTACAGTAAGTTCATTTTACAGGAAGATACAGAGAGGACCCAAATTAATGTTCTTGCAGTACAAGCCATAACTTCCTTGGTGCTGAGTGCAATGACAATACCTGTTGCAGGCAATCCAGCGGTTAGCTGTTTGGAACAGCAGCCCCGTAACAAAGCCTTAAAAGCTCTGGACACAAGGTATTTTTTTTACTGGCTTTGAAATACATGTAAGTTAACTTGTGATTAATACATAACTACAATTGCTTAATCTAGCTGTAGCAAAAATGTGTATACACTGTACTTTCTAAGCAAGATTGTATACAGATGGGTCTGCTTACACAGAAGTTACATGGACTTAGCATCATGAACCTGCTGAGTTAAAAGATGGTATCTGAAAAAAACAGTATCTTAATAAAATCTAGTAAACAGTGTGCAGAATATATTTCTCAACCTTTCTTGATTTTAGCATCCCTGATAAGAAAATAAGCATAAACACATAGCACTGTAGAGTAAGCTAGTCAGACTTGCACAAAATGTTAAAGGGAAAATCTGCTTAAATTGATTTCTGTTGGGCTTTCAGGTTTGGGAGGAAGCTAAGTGTTATCAGAGGAATTGTTGAACAGGAAATTCAAGCAATGGTATCTAAGAGAGATAATATTGCTACTCATCACTTATACCAAGCTTGGGACCCTGTTCCATCACTTTCTCCTGCTACTACAGGTAACTGCATGTATATGGGGGGAAGGGGAAAGTTAATTTCTTTTACACTTAAAGAGTAGAAAAATTACTCTTAAGAATTTATTTGAAATCTAGTTTGCAGGAAATAAAGCCATTTTCACATCTACTTTGTTAGGCATGTTTTAAGAACTTGTCTTCTGTTTTGTTACAGGTGCTCTTATCAGCCATGAAAAACTCTTACTGCAGATCAATACTGAACGAGAAATAGGAGATATGGACTATAAACTGGGACAGGTTTGTTAAAACCTTCACGGCGAACTTGACTTTTTATTACATTTCTTCCAGTTTGTGACAATTCAGTTAAAAGGCACTGCTTAACATCAAACATAAACCAAGAGCTCTGAGTGATGCAGAGTGGATCATAACTGGGTGACTCCTCTCAGCTAGCCATCCCACCTCTCATGGAATTTTTGCTTGTGTGTGAGGTCTCTCTGTGAGCAAGCCTTATGTGTTAAAGAGCCCATGTAGTGTTAGATTCCACTTTAACTATTGGATTTTAATTTGCTAACGCATATTTGCAGTAGTTCTTAGGAAATGAAAAATCACTGGACATAAAATAAGCAATGTTGTCTTAATTTTACATAAAACCAGAGTAGACGCATAAATTTCATTGTATGATGTTAGTTGGAAAATTAACACTACATACAGTGAATAAAAAAAAATTAGCTCTTATCTAGTTAGTTATCTCCTTGAAAAATACTCTTTACATAAAATTACGTACAAGTTTTAAATGTATTTATTTCATTATTTGAATAGTATATATTAGTGGAAAAAAATTTAAATACTAAACTCATATTACATTATTTTTCTTGAGGAATCTTTTGCATAGAGAAGACTAAACAATCACTTGCCTGTCTCTAGGCATCTGTATATTCTCTGGAGATTCTAAATGGTTTGAACATTCAGTATTTGCACGTTTACAGACCCTATGCATTATTTACAAAACCTGTTAACTCTACAACAATACTAGGCATTAGACATCCTGCTTGAAAAAGAAATGCATTTTTGTGTAACATGAAAAAGAATTCTATATAAAGGGTGAATTTTTGTCTAAAAAAGAAGTCTTGAGCTATGTAAGATAAGAAACTTCAGACGAAAAAGTACTGTCTGTATTGAAACACAGGAAGTGCTGATTTTGTTCTGGAATCTTTAGACAGATCATTTATGAAATGCCATCAACACATCTTATTGTTCTGAAAATTTCATTTTATAAAGAAAACTTAAAGAAGAACTAAGAATTTTTCTTTTTTTTTTTTTTTTTTAGATAACACTTTATCTAACATGAGTCAAAGGACTTGATAGCTCAGTCTTGTCTGGTTTCGGAAGAAAGGTTATATTGCAATCAGATAGGCTGAGTTATGGTTTGAGAGGAGTTAGGAGTGTGTTTTCTATTGAACTGCAGTCGTTACAGTTCTTTCTGAATTCTGATAGGAATTGTAAATACTTATACTTTGCTTTACATTTTAAATCTGGTACGTTGACTTTGGGATGGTGCGTGAACGTTGTTAGTGTGTGCTTGTGTGCTTCCGGGTTATAGCCAGATGCTACTTTCAGCATCACCTGTATTGCTGTACTATGCACATGATGCTGCTGGTTTTGCTGTGCCATACTGTTTAAAGTGATTTAAATTAAAATGTTGAAAAAGGTTAAAAAAAAAAAAAAAAAAAAAAAAGAAAAGATGTGCAGTTCATTCAAAAGTTATTTGAGGCTGTGTGTTTGTTGCCTGTCATTTAAATGAAAAATGTATTGGATTTATAAGATTTTCTAATTTGACTAACAGAGCGTTAAATGTTGTGCTGCTTTTCTATTTGTGTTGTGGGTTTTTTAATATATTTTTTTTTGTGTTGCAAGGTCTCTATACACTCCATATGGTTAGGAAATAATATCACTCCACTGAGAGAAGAAGAGTGGGGTGAGGATGAAGAAGATGAGAATGATGTACCTGCTCCTTCCTCACCACCAACCTCTCCTATTAACACCAGGTGTCTTATTTTTTCTTGTCTCTCATTTCACTTATCAATAAGCTTTTATCTCTTCATGCTGAGATCAATAAGCCAGCTTTATAAATTAGACACTGGTAAATAACTGTATTATTTCAAATCAATTATTTTAGCAGGGCTTAAAAATAGACTTTTTAACACTTGCTTATTGTGCCTTTCAGGAAACATCGGGCTGGTGTAGATATACATTCTTGTTCTCAGTTCTTGCTTGAACTCTATAGTCAGTGGATATTGCCATCAAACCCTAGCAAGAGAACGCCAGTCATTTTGATTAGTGAAGTGGTGCGATCAGTAAGTCTAAACTGTTATTCAGAGTCATAATTACGTGTATGTTACCAAATGTTCAGAGCTAAGCAGCATTTGTAAAGCATCTTTTAATATATGGGATGATTTTACTTGGCATTGCAATGATATTGGCAATGCAGAAATATAACTTGAGCAACTGTAACATTACTATTTTAAACTATATTAGCATCTGGATTGCATATTCTGCTACTACATTACAAACACTTTATTGTCACTTAATGATAGTTGATATTTTACTTTGACTACTTACTAAAAGTAGTTTTCAGGATTTTTCGTATCCTGTCTCTCTGTACAAAAATGAAGATGGAACAACAGTGTACTAGAGGATTAAATTGACTATTGATGTGTAGAACTAAATATAAAGAACACAGGTGTGGAATGTGTCTTGATAGCCATAAAAGACTTAAAATGATACTAATCTTGCAAGAGAATATGTATGGGGTGTTGTGAGGTGTTTTAGTACACTGTAAATGTCAACATTCACTCATTTTCCAGAATTACTTAATATAGTGGATTTGGTTTTGTTAACCTCTTGGAAAAAAGGACTGTTTGGAGGTAATTGTTATCTGAGATGGATGGTAGAATTAATTCTGGACAAGTTAAGAATAGTTATTCCAGACACTTGAATTAATGTTTACACATTTAATAGATCAATGAAAGAATCTTTTGCTGACAGTTATAAAAGAAGGGAGAGTCAATTTTTGTCTGTCTGCTAATGGGCTTTTTTATATTAAATTTTAATTTGTGTACAGCTTCTGGCAGTATCAGACTTATTTACAGAAAGGAATCAATTTGAGATGATGTATACAACACTGACAGAATTGCGAAAGGTGCATCCATCAGAAGATGAGATTCTTGTACAGTATTTGATACCAGCCACTTGTAAAGCAGCTGCTGTTCTTGGAATGGTAAGAAATTCTCATGGAAGTTTATTGCAAATTCATGAGTGTCTGGGTTAACTCATCCTTGGCTTCTGCTGCAAGATCTGATGTATTTGGTAAGAGTGGTTTGTCTCTAAGAAAATATCTTGGCTGATCTGCATGGCTATAAGAAGCAATAGGATATGTATTCTGGGCTTTCAGAGGTTGCAAACATCATCTCCAGTTGCCCCATATTCAAACAAAAAGATTGTTTGGTTCGGGGTTTTTTTGAGGTTTGAGCTTAATTTAGTGTATTTTTTGTTTTTTCTTATTCAGTTGAGTGTTATGTTTGCCCTGGACTCATTTGTTACTTTTCAGGCCAGAAATGAAGACAGCTATTGCTAGGTTCATGTTACAGGTGAATGAATGGCTGTAATCTCATGAGCGACTGGGACTGTGCATGTGTTGAATGCGTAGCATGGTAGTTAGGTATCCCTTTTCTTTCCCTCACTCTTTGCTTTACTTCACTGCATTCTTCTGTATTTAGGGGAAGAACATTATTAATGCAAGTTATTTAATGAAATGTGTTGCTGACTTTAAATCTGTAGACGAGAGAGCAGTAGAATTTTCCAATGGGCATTTCAAAGTGGGATTATTTAGGAAAAAAAGTTAGAAATTATTTTGGAAGAAGTTAGCATTTCTAAGAAACTCTATGAGGCTAATATAAAACTATATGGGTAACAGTGGTAGGAAAAATTTTGAAAGACTTTTAGGGTAGGACTTCTAGTAGCTATTGTGGAGGCAATTGTGCAAGGGAAGGCTGTGAAAGTGATGCCAAACATGCAGAAACAGTTTTAGAGATCAGATTGTTCTGACTAGGCTGTAATTTCCCACTCAGTGAACTAACACCTCTCAAGCAAACAACTGAATATAACAGGTTAGTGTGAGGGGGGGAAAAAGGTTGGTTCCATCAAGAGTTGCTTGTTGTCCTATGTTCAGTTAGGTAGAAGAACTGCTTAAAAAGAGCAACTAGAGAGCACACACTGTAAAACTGGCCTGTATCTTACATACTTTGTGAATACAGGGACAAGGTAAAACAAATAATTTCTACTGAATACTAAAAACAGGTTGTAAGAAAAAAAAAAAAAACCCAAACTCCTCAAATCTAACAGTTTAGAATAGATTTTGCATAGTCCCAATACATTTTTGTACTTTGGTAACAGGAAGTGAATTATCTGATACCAGCTTTATGTTTGAAGACTAAACATAGAATCATTTAGGATGGAGAAGGTTGAAGGCTGTGCTGCCATTCAGCAAGAGCTAGACAGGCTGGAGAAATGGGCAGGGAGAAGTGTAATGAAATACAACAAGGGCAAGTGTCGAGTCTTGCATCTGGGAAGGAACAACCCCATGTAGCAGTATCAGCTGGGGACGGACCTGTTGGAGA